GGCGCATGTGACTCGCGTGTCGTAGTTTGTTCACCCCCGACTAACAACGTATTTTCTTATTTATCGTTTCAAAAGGTTTTATGTTAATGTGCAAACATTTTTATTTGAAATAATATTCAATCGAATTAGAAATAAAATAATTCAAATTTGACTCTTTTAACTTCTTTCAAACCCTGTATGAGACGAACGAGAACAATTGTTTCATAATATTTTGACGAATTAATAACTTTAGTTCCGCACTCGTTACAACAAAAAGTATTTGCAAAATATAACAAATACAAGAAAGAAAAAACAAAATAATAAAAGCACCCACACATAGATCAAATGCTGAGTATTTACTGCATTCGGAACGAAACACGAGACACTCACATCAAACTGCACTGGAAGAAATACGTGGAGAGGGGTTAGGAATAAACGTTCACTCAAGCAATGATGACACCAAATCCAACAGAAGTGTGGGTGAGGGAGGTTTTTTAACAAAAGCCACCACAGGTTTTTAAATGTTAGAATCTGTTTTTTAGAAGATTTTTCATACAAAGCAGGATGCATTTATTACATGCAATGTTGTTGATTTTGTTTGTTTGTTTGTTGTGGAAAAATACAGTAGAGCAAAAACACAATTCATAAACCTCAAGAAACCCCGAAGACTTTTTTTATTGCTGTAAACAAAATGTTCAATCGCCGCAAACAAGAAGACAAACACACAAACGAAAAAATAAATAGGGATGCAGAAAAACATAGACAAACAGACAGACAGACAAACAAACAACAGACAAACAAAAAAACAAACAAAAAGACAGACAGACAGACAAACAAACAAACAAACAGACAAAAAAACAAACTGGCAGACAAACAAATGCACACCTTGAAGCAATTACATATAAAGAAATAAATAGGAAAGCAGAGGAGGAACATATAGAGTTGTGTTATTTATTGAGCCGGACTTCTCGGCTAATCCGATCGTTTGCCGATAATCAGACCAAGACTTATGGGGTCAACTCTTTAGATGCTGCTGTGTGGGTGGGTGTGCTTTCGGTGCTATCCATGAGGGGGTATGATGGTGGGGCTAGTGAAGATGGTGTTACTCATGATGTGGGCTGAGGGTTAGTAAAATGATGACGTTGATGGTGAAAATTTGCCTGTTAGTGATGTCTTACATGTTGGTGATGTTGATGTGTTCATGTTGGTGAGGTTGATGAATATGATGATGGCCATAATTTATGCTAATGATGATGATGCTGTGATGATGCTGGTGTAGTAAGAGTTTTTTTAAACAACGATTCAGTATTAGGAATTTTTCACTGATGTCTTCCGTATTAATTTTGGGATTATCATATTGCTTTCGAATTGACAATGCTGTCGGTTTTAACAAATCCGTATTTGTATCTAAGGATTTGTGGAGTGCCCTTATTCAGAAAGGCTAGCTTCACTCGATAGTGTCAAAACAAATATATGATAGAATTATTTCAAATGAACTGATTATCAGCAGTATTTGTGTTAAAAGTCAGTAAAATTCACGGGTCGTCAGCATGATTCTTACCAACGTTAATATTGTATCATAAAATAGTGAACAGTTCATTTCTTTGTTTCATGAAAAGTTGGTGTCATTTTTTGACACAAACACACACACAAACACACACACACAATATGTTATCGAAGGTATCGAAGGTAAATCTTCTTGAAAACCATTTCTAAAGACAAGATCTAAAGTTGTCACAAAATTCAAACTAATAGAGTAATTCATACGCATTTTCACAATTTTACTTTTACACACCAACACACACACACATATACACACACACACAAACACACACACACAATGTTATCGAAGGTATTGAAGACCATCAAACTTTTAGTTTTGAAATCATTCCTCCACCACTGCACTTATCTCTTTGTGAATAATTTTTTAGTTAAGTTTTTTTTCATATAATTTTTATTAGCTTATTATTTTTTAGTATATTAATTTTTAGCTAAATATTTTCTAGCTAAGTATTTAAGTGGTTAATTATTCCTTCTTATTATATATATATATATATATATATACATTTATATATATAAAATTAAAAAACATAAAAAGTTGCTCTTTTATAAAATTTTTTCAGTTGTAAAAAAGTTTGAAAAAATTTTTGAATGAGAAAAATTCGAAATAAATTTCTTTTTATGTTA